AATAAGGTTATTACATAAAGATGTCGTTATCAATCAAAAAAACTTCAGTAACTATTTAATAAAGTTAATATTTGAAGTTGTATAATTTTATATAAATAGGTAAATATTGCTTTTGTCAAAGATAAAAATCCCCCAGTGTGTCAGTGTTAAGTTTACAGAATTACAGTGTTAAAACCTGGGGTTCAGTTCTCCATCGTGGACAGAGTACAGGTAGCCCATTGTGTAATATGTTCCCAAAATACCACCCCCATAAAAAATAACAATACAGTTATAATGAATTTAAAAATAATATTTTTGGTTATAAGAAACTTAAAGATTAAGTACTTTAGATTTATAATATATATACAACTTATACGAGTATTTTGTAAATTTGTAGTTTGAATTCTAAACTTTGTTGTGATTAGTCAGTAAAAGTATTTTGTTGTTATCGTATGGAACATATCAGTTAAGTAAATATACCTGTATTTATTTTAATGTAGAAATTTGACAGTAATGGAAGCCGGCGATGTGACACGATCGGTAATTTGATTGGCAGCTGTCCTCGTAAGGAAATTGTTCACCCAAACAGCAAGATGGAAAAAGTAGTGGTACGATCACTAGGATCTTTTAACTGATAAAAACAAAACAAATAAGTATTTGGAAATTGGCATAAGTTTCACTTGTAAGTTGCTACGTAATAGCATTTATTGGTTTGGAAAACGAAAAGTTTTTTACAGATTCCAAATAGGTAGTATTCATATCTCACTTATGTCTCTTGTTTATTAACTTAGAATAATAAATAAAAACACAAAAGTAATTACACAAAACATTTATTACATTTTGTAATCTTCAAAATTCCATATTCCATAAGATAGAGGTACAAACATAATGGTAATTACAACAGATATAATATGTAATAAATAAACAATTTGAATACAAAAAAAAAGAACAGGAAAAAAAATTAAAAGTAATTACATTTTCTGAAAAAATTAATCGATTAACTTAAAATATTTTAATATTTTGGCTTCTTAAATGTTGATATTTATTAATAAAAGTAATTAAGACAGTAGCTTAACTTCTAACTAACTACCAAGCTATTGTACCTCTAGAAGTTGTTTACCTGATATTCTAATATAATTAACAGGTCTTCACTTTTTTAATTTGTATTTTCTTGGATATAATCTTTTAAGTTTTTTTGTAACTTTGAATCTGGAATTTATTAATGAACGTTGTTATTGAGATCTTAAGATTCAAGTCTTCATTGTGAGTGATAATTTAATTTCAAGAGCAAGAGATGTTTGATACATTTCTAAGCTCGTAATAAGGTGAAGTCTACTCTTCACTATAGAATCTTAGTATTAAAAATGTTCGTATCCTGTTCATTATAGAATATCAATCATAACCTTGTATTTATCAGGATAAACAGTTAAGTGACACGGGAGCCAGGGAAGAAAATGCTGTCCAAATTAAACCTCAGAGAATTAAGTTGAAGCTTAAACCGAGTAAGCTGAATTTAATTTATAACTAGCAGTTCTTGTTAATTGTTTAATGTATAGTTTGAAAGAAATATTTCCTTAATGCGAACTAAACATTCAAAAGTAACTAATAGTAATAATGAAAATAACACCTCATGAAATGTTTATCTTGTATGTATTAAAATGTCTACAGATTAACTCTGGAGGCTGGGTCTGTGGGTTGACAAATGTCAGTTTTTCTGTGGGTTGGCAAACGTCAGTTTTTCTGTTACATAAACAAACTAGGAAATTAAATAGTGAGAAACCTGAAACAAGCCTTTTAAACACTATAAGGCTTATAGGTGAAAAAAAAATTGAATTTAGTATTTGTATGATTTCTAGCTTTTAAAACTCATGAAAGTTTATTGAAAAAATGCTGTTTTGTGAAATAATCTTCCTTTTGTCTTCATTACTACTATTTTATTATTAATCTGAAACAAAGTATTTAAAAGTTTTTTAAAACTGAAACTATATTTTTTTGTTTTATTCTAATAACACCATATAAATTTGGATACAATCATTAGACTGTTAAATGTAAAAAAAAACAACTACTATAAATACGAAAGAAATGTGTCCATTTGTGCTTGTTTCACATTCATTAATTTGTTGGAAAACAGTTATGTACATACCACATGATTAGCAATTATTTACGATCAGACTTCATTTCACAACTCTCTATATATAGGTTTATGTAATTCTCGTTTTGGTATGTTTGTACTTGATTACTTCTTTTAGAGTAATGTTTTAGTAAGTTTCAAAAAACATAAATCCAGTATCACGAATTAAGTTCAAATATTGTCTCTCTTAAAAAATATTGGTCAAATTATCATATGTGAGGATGAAAGTTTTTGTGACAGGGTGATTTTTTTTAACTCCAGATGGATCTAGAAGAAACCCCGTGTGGTTAAAGTGTGAATCTTTAACTGAGAACGTCCTGTGAAAATACCTTTAACGTGGCTTAAGTTACAGTTTTATAGAGAAGTTTTTCTTTGAATTCTAGCTCCTTGTAACTAAAAACTAAAATATTATTAACCACAAACATGCTTTCTTCTTATCTTCGATTTCTTCAGTGCAAAAAAACATAGTTTAAATACTTTTTTTATTCGTTTAAGAATCCTTAATTCACAGAATGTCTTAAATGAACGTCACTTTGTGCTTATTTTAATTGTTACCATTTTAAACCCGTATCCTGTAACATTCATGTGTGAAAAGATATGTGAAGGACCTTTAACACCCGTGACACTTCACATTTAATGTTATCAGTTTCCCCTTATGTAATTGAAGAACAATCATTATATGTAGGAAACTAAATGAAACCTCTTGTAATTATACAAATTGTTTTCCCAGTAAGTCTTGAATTTTTGTAGGTTTATAATGTAACTTTCATTTATTTACTTTTCAAATATATTTACAACCTTCTTACTAAGTCCTATATAAGAACATAAGTATTTTTTTTCCTACGTTCCGTCCCTGTTTTCATTCCCACTTTTATGTACCTGGTCAACAGTCTTTTCAATAACCAGTCAGTTAATTCAGTACTTTAGTAAAAACTAAATATCTTCATCAAGATCACAGATGATGCATGAAGAGTCCTGTAAAGAATACTCTAAAGGTTCCTAATTCCTTCACTAACAGAATACCATTTATATTTCTATAAATAAACTAGTTACAAAGCCTTGTTTATTTTTTGACACAAGTTTAGACTTGAACTTGAAAATTATTTTTTGCTTTGCGTATAAATTGAACTATTTGATGATGGGAATTTAAAAGCATTTCTTCTGTACGAGTGAAATCTACAAACGACGTATACGTACCTCTGTCCGTATCTGGTGGAAGCAAAGGTACATCATTGGCCATTGTTTCAGTGGAGCTCGTATACACGTTGGAGACCACCAAAGGAAGGAAACTTCTCTTCGTGTGTAATCCACTCCTTACTGCTTGAAACGTCCCATTATGTTCAATACCACGTTTAAGCCTTAACTGAAATGGTTAACTAGTTGTTCCGTTAAAGTGTTGTAGCTCTTCTTTTGTTGTCTTCGATAATAATTTTAACAACATGAAAAAGAAAATGTTGTATTATAGTTTACTTAGCTCTGTTCATCAACTGATTTTGTAACCCACTGCTGATGATTTATCACATGTTGCTAAGATTAATATTTTTATGAACACAACTTAGCTGATTACATTTGGATTTTGAGGATGAAGGAAAATTACTTGTGTGGAACGTAAATCTAGTTGTTCTGGTTGTGAGGCTGTAGAAATTATACACCCTACCTATATATAACCTGAAAAAGACAAATATAAATCCAGTCATTATTGAATGTACTGATAATATATCTTTCTTACATAATTGTTATCTTATCTTTGTAGGTTACATATAATGGAGTGCCTACTTCATTTTAAGTATGTCTGTAAACTGTGCCTACAATACAAACAAATTCGTGAAGAAAGGAACTGTAAAGTGGCTTCTTGATGAGAATATCTACAGTGTAAATAATACTGTAGTTGTGTTATATAACTCGCCTGACTTGCAGATAGTAAAACGATATTAAGTATACTGTTTTGTGTGAGGATTTTATGATTAATTGGTCATATTTTTGGGTCTGTTATATTTTTAACACTCATAATGTGGAAGAAATTTTTAAAGAACTTGAAACATCGTATTTATGCAAAAATGTTGGAGAAGCTTTTCGCTCGTCAATTTT